TCGGTTTGAAATTAATTAATTAACCAAAATTATTAAATATTATATATATTATAAACCTATTTTAAGCTCAAACCCATTAAAAATTAATTACCCGATTATTTTTTAATCACACTAGATTCATTAAATTATTAATACCTAATTAATTTGTAACGCAAATAATATATATATATTATATTTAAATTAATCTAATTATAAAAAAATTATTAAAAAATCGATTAATTCGGTTAACCGGCCAAAATAACCAAACTTTGTTTGATTCGGTTAATATTTTCAAAGAAAAATTCGATTCAGTTAACAGTTAAAGAAAAAAAAAGTTCAGTTAACTCGGTTAATGGTAATTCGGTTCGGTCGGTGCTCGAATTAACCATTTGAATACCCTACTAACATTTTTTTTATATTTTGAGAGATTTAATGAGAATTTTTAAAAATTATGGGAGGGATTTAATTAAAAATATTTAAAAACTTTAAAAATTAATATGATTTTTAAAAAAAAATTGTGAGGACCAAATTAAAAATTTTAAAGGTCTAAACTATAATTTTCAAATTTTTTGGGGGGCCATGGCCCCCACTAGCCTCCATTATCTTCTGACATTGTCTAAAGACCTAGTTAAATACTATTCCATGTCATCAAACTAGAATATTTAATGTCTCAATGATCATAATATTATAAATTGATAAAGTAAATGACTAAAAAGTTATAAATGATTAAGTAAATGATCAAAATGTTATTTTATTAAATTCGTTGACTAAAAAAGATTACTTATGAAACAAAAGTGTCCAATTCAATAGTTTTACCCTTGTTTCTCCTTCGCGTGATTGAGTCTGTCGAGCGGGAATTATTACATGCATTGAGTCGGGGATAAAATTGGTTTTCCCAGCATGTTGGCAAAATAAGCCACGTCAGCTTCTATTTCCAATGAGATTTAGATTTAGATTTAGATGTGGATTGGATTTCACTATTAAAAGTTATAAAATGGTCACCAAATTATTTATTATGATCTAAACCCGTCCTTTTTCGTTAAACAATTGACTGTATTCTGAGCTGAAAGCTAATATACTAACAGTGATATGATAAAATTTAATCACATAATCTTAAATGACTATCATACCACAGTCATCATGTTAACGTTCAACTTAGACAACCACTAACTTTTTAACAGAAAATGGTGAGTTTATAATATAATGAATAGTCGGGTAATATTTTGTAACTTTTGATAATTGAAGGACTTAACAAAGCAATATTTTATGTTCATTAGGCTATTTTGTAATATTTAATAATCAAATTACTTAATAAAACAACATCCTATAGTCCATAGTCATTTGTATACTTTACCCTATATGTTTTTATTATTATTATTATTTACAAAACAGTTAGTTGCTGAGTCTTTCGGCTCATTGTATAAATTTATTGAACCCAATATTCTATATTTAAATACCTGAGATGATAAGATTAATTGCTTTTATCCAAATTTAAAAATACTTTAGAATATGGAAGGGGAATTGAATTAAGATGTAATTAATTTAATTATATGATTATAACGTGTTCGAATAATTATTATAATTTAAAAACTATATTAAATTAGATATAATTAGGAGTCTCTGTTTAATGACCTAAAGGTTTTTTTAGAAGCCAGAAATTTTATAGTTTTATAAATTATTAAAATTTTAAATTTTATTAGTTGTAAATACAATAAAAATATTAATTAATCTAATAAGCTTCTTCGTTTAAATTTTAATATGCATTAAAAAATATATATATATAAAAATGTGCAAGAATGTGAAAAGATAAGACAATAATAATACAATAAAAATTGAAGAACCGGCAATAATATACATTATCTTATTGTTAAATGATGTACAAATGTACCTAAAGCAAAACCACAAATCAAATATAATATTTTAACACAGATATTTTATTAAAAAATAGATTAATGAAACAAACCTCCATTTTAACATAGGATAAAGTAATATTTAGTCTTCAAACTTGATAATTTTTAATCTTTATTTTTTGTTTTATATGCATTAGTCTTTAAATTTGATTAAAATAATTAATTCTAATCATTTAAATGATGCAATACTTCGATGTCTCTGTCTGTCCAAAAAAAAACTTTCTCTTCGGTCCCTAGAATATAAAATTTTAGGCTTAAAAGATTATTTTTATCTCTAAAGTACTTAATTTTTTTACTCTTGTAATTTTTTTTTATCAATTTAGTCATCAAAGTTGTTAGTGATATTATCCTAATACTTGAAGTTCATTAACCGTTTTGATTGACATAATTCTGAATCTTCTATGTGTGTAATTAAGGGATTTTGTTGAAATATTTACTAAACATGACTGTTAGAAAAAAATTCTAATTTTTTTTTATTTATTTATGTGGGATCATGTCAAAATTTTGGAGATTTTTCTTAACCATTCTATTTAGTAAATATTTTATTATTTATTTATTAATAAATGTCACGTCATTATTGGCGTGGAAATTAGTGGCGTCGATAAACACAGAAGATTAACAATTCGTTTGTCAAAGATGACTTCGAGGGTTAGGGTAATGTCTCTAAACAACGTCGAGGGTTAAATTGATGCAAAAAATCATAAGAGATAAAATGATAAATTAAACCTACTACAGGTACAAAAGTAACTCAATTATAAATTTATGTAATTATAAAAAATAATAAAATTATATTTTAACTTTTTAGATGCTTACAATCCAACCAACAACCAATTGGTCTAGGCACTAGATCCCTTAAGTAAGGTCCGAGATTTGAATCTTGACGATTGTGAATAGAACAAACTAAATTTAGAGGATCACTCTTATCTCTACAGTATCATATCTGGATTAATCTATCAATAAATCTGATACCAGTGGTTATACTAAAATTATGACACGTCCATTAATTCTTGATTTGTGTATAATAAAACCCAGAAAAACAAAAACTTTTTTGTAGGTTTCTAGTTAAAATTTGTTTGTCATATGAGTGTGTGTGGGTTGATCATTATCGTGCCAAATAATAAAGATGATTTCATGACTGGTCCCACCTTTCTCCATCATATTTGAATGTTTAATTAATTAATTAGTCAATGTTAAGCATGAAGATTAGGATATGATAAACATGGGTTATGCTTATAAGCATTTCTCACTTCTTTAATTCATCGTTAAATCTTTCGGCTGATTAGTTTACAGTTTTCGAGTTTATTAATATAAATTAATTAAGGGTAAACTACATCGGATACCACCGTACTTTAGGCGATGTATCGTTTATACCACTAAACTTTCAATTTTGCTAATTACAATACTAAACTTTGATTTTCGTTTCAATTATACTACCGAACCGTTAAATCGTTAACGACACGATGACGTGGTCGACAGTTGCTGATGTGCCTAACGGATGACGACGTAGACACCTCACCAAAACCCGTTAATTAAGTATTGGAATATTTTAAATAGGGCTATAAATCTAAATCCCTCTTTCCATTGGTTTGAAGCATTTTTATAGTCCGAGTTTGACATTTCACGGCAAGAAAACAGATTCCTTGATCACCAATCTAACTAAAAGTCGGCTTATCTTTAAATCTAACTAAAAAAATATTTAAATATCAATTAATTTTTAATCTTTTATTAATAATAATAAATTAGGACAGCTTGAGATAGTGTAATAAGGCCATGTTCAATGCATCTCTACTCTAATGTATCTCTATCTCTACTGTAGAGATGAAACAGTAATTCATCTCCAGCGCTATCTCTACATTACTACTAAATCTACTTTATTCATAATATTTAACTATTATAATATTAATTTTAAAAATATAAAATAAAACATATATATTTCTAATAAATATCAAGATAAAAAATATAAATAAAACATTCAATGTATTTTTATCTATCTTGCGATGGATCTAGATACCATTTCTGACCCCGAAGGACGCCACTATTTTCGAAACGAACAACAAAAAATTCTTCGGAAACGAAAAGAAGAAGAACAGTCAACCTCTACTACTTTTAATGTGTTTGGAATGAACTTTGATGATCTTGGAGGGAGTGGAGGGGGTTTGTCTGATTATTAGTTAAATTGTTGTGTTTGAGTTGTTGGTTAAAATGTTGTTCGAGTTTTATTAGTATTTTCTATGTTTTTATGTTTGTTGTAGTTTTTATGTTTCAAAAAATTAGTATGTTTATTTATCTAATTTCAATGTATTTTTATCTATCTTACAAATTAATCTACTTGAATTTAAAAAAAATCATAAAAAATATAAAAAATCAGAAAAAATACAAAAAAAATACAAAAAATTACAAAACAATTAGTATTTATATATATATAATTTTAAAGTATTTTTTTATCTTGTAATTTAATTTATTTGAATTAAAAAAAATTGTAGCGCATGCTACAGTACCGCGCCAGATGTGGCGCGGACTGTAGCGTTTCGCTACTGTAACGAGAGATGTGGCGATGGGCTGGAGGGGTTTTTTCTCCTCCAATGCCCTAAGTATTTTATATTTATTTAGTAAGATGATATTAGAAAATAATTATTTAAAAAAAAGGAGTGTCTTTCGGATTTAGGTCAATGTAGTAGTCCGACTAAGTATCGTTATTTTTTTTTTGACTATGAATAAAACTAATGTCGAAGGCGAAGTCTATAACATTGATAAAAATATATCTTATAAATCACACCTTTAAAAAAAAACACTTATTATGTAACACAACTTTATCAAAATTAAACAATTTTGTGCAGCTTTCATTGGTTTAAGGAAATTTTTAACGAGGCTCGTAACATAATTTAGTCCGTCTTATTCAATAAAATTTATTGTCGAGGAAAAAAAAATCCGAAGATCTAAAACTTCTTATCGCTTGATCCAGTAACAGGTAATTCTGTAAATTTATTGTTGTTATTATAGAAACTAATAGCAGAGTAAAATGATTGAATAACAAAAAGGCAATGCTGTAAATGTGCTTAAAGTTCGGTAAAATTACATATAACGAACGCTAAAATGTGCAGAAAATCCATGTTTTTTCGAGCAGACAAATAAAAGCTCGAAGATGGATTTTGGTACCAAATGAGAAAGGAGATCACCAAACTGTCTCCTCACACTCAAATCTATTGAATGGAGCTACGGAACCAAACATTACATCAACAAGACGATGCTGAAAAGGTTGTTTATTGACACTAAAAAACATGCTGTAAGGGAACACACGAGCGCAAACCACTGCTAAAAAAGTTTGAAAATATGTAAACTTTTTTTGCAGGTTTGATGAAAATGGGTGGAGAAATCTGTTGAAATCAGTGGCTGGTTTCATCTAAAAATCTGCAGCCGATGAAAGGAAAATGATGACAATTGACAATAAAAGATGCAGACAAAACCGTGAGATTTTCGGACCGAGAAGACGAGTTCTTTTTTAAGAATCTTCATCTTTCCAAAAGAAGGGTTTCATTGGACAAGAAGTGGAAGAAGTAGTGTCACCAAATTCTTCTTGTTGATTTTGGTCGTGGAAAGGGAGATTTGAAGGTAAAATGAGATTGTTTGTGGTGTCTAAATCATCCCAGACTGGACTCCCTGGACCCCAGCCTGCTGGGAATGCACTGAACCAAGCTTCGGACATCGACATATCTCCCCACACGAGTTCCTGAGGACCCGAACCCCTGCCTTCGCCCAAACCCGAGCACTCGGCTGCCATTTGTACATTGTCGCTGGTTGTAGCCTCACTGGATTTGAACCCCGAATCGTTGTTGGGGTTGTCGAGCTGAGACTGAGTCAATGGTGGCACCATTTCGACTTCGGTTGGCTGAGAATTAGGCCCTTCCCGTTCTTCTTGTGGGACAGAACTTGGCCCTGGTGAATCATCTTTATCTTTGTCTTTGTTGAGGAAAAGCTCAGGGAAATTGAGCCTTGCATTCTCTCCTCTCAACTTGAACGCCTCGCGATCGTAGGCTAATGCAGCGTCTTCCGCGGTGTCGAACGTGCCTAGCCAAAGGCGAGTCCGGTTTCGAGGAAGACGGATTTCAGCTACCCATTTTCCCCAATGCCTCTGTCTCACGCCTCGGTAAAGCTTTGTTGTGTTTATAGGCTGCAATGGCGGTCTATACAATTGGTGACCGTCTTGTCCCAAGCGGTTCATCATCGCCATCCTCCTTCTTGGACTCAATGTATCACTCCAATATTGAAGAAACTGCTGCTGCTGATGCGACGGCAGTTGCGGAGGCGGTACCGGTGACGATTCTCCGGCAAAAAAGGGTCGATAAACGAACCCGTGTTGCTGCTGCTGCTGTTGAGGACTAAACGAAATCATCTGTTGCTGATTTTGCAGCGACGGGCGGAGCATTGTCTGAGTAAGGTAAACCGGCTGCTGGGATGCATCGAAAGCGAAAGGGAAAACCAGTCTCGAAGATGCCAAAGAAGCGTTCGTCGAAGAAGAAGAAGGAGACGGTAAAGAAAGCGTTAGAGAAGGCGAAATAGAAGACGACTGGTCCGCCATTGAAGCAAATGATCGAACAGATTCCTGGCGTCGTTGAGGACTACGAATCTTCTTGTGAGGTCTTTGTGACATGGAAGCTTCACCAAAAACTGGCTTCCATTGCCGTTTTTCGAACCCAAAATCGAGCTCGTTCCCCTTACCAATCTCCGAATCTTGCCCGATCCCCGTCTCCTCTGTTCCATCACTAAAACCTTTCTTGGACTCGTCACTATATTTTGCAGCAGCCATTGATAAAATACTTCAATAAACCCCTGAAAAATCGCTCGCTCTCTCTATGGAAATCAAAAACTTCAAAAAAAAAAATACAAATCCAAAATGATAAAAATAACAACTGGAACGGTTCAAAATCAAAAGGTACCCCAAATTCAAATGTGGTCAGAACCCAGAAGATAAAAAAACAGAGAGAACCAAATCCACAATCTGAGAAACGAATTTAATAGCTAATCCAATGAAATATATCGAAAAGAATCAGCTGAAAATTCATGATCATTGACCCCATCCCAAAAACTGGATTTGAAATCAAAGAAAAACAGAGAGAGCGAGCTTTTTTTGCTTCGATTTGCAACGATCAAAGTCTAAACGGGTGCTGAAAGGCGTTGAACTTCGTTGCTTTCTGAATTGAATTCGAGAGATTTTTGGAGCGGGGAGTGGGAGAAAGCTATGAATTTAAAGAGAAAATTGTAAAATAAAAGAGAAAAAACAGGGGAGGCTCTGTTTTTTCAAAAGAGAAATTTAGAAGAAAAATGCAGGGAAGGTGAAGGTGGCTTAAATAACATAGAGAAGTGGAGAATCCTTCCATTGTCGGCCCCTACACGGGGTTGGCTTGGTCCTTTCCGGTGACGTTGCTTTCACTCCAATTTTCTCTCTTTGCCCTATATTTTGGTAAAACTATTGTTTTGGTCTTTCAACTATTTTTAAATTCAGTATTTGGTCTCTGTAATTTTTTATACCTTTCATGTTACCGCTCCTCGCGATAATATTATCTTTAAAATTTAATTCGGTTATGATCAATGTTATTGTAATATTTAAAAATTCGTAAGCTTGAACGTATTTAAGTATTTTTTTCTACTTAGAGGTGAACATTATGAACAATTTAATCATTCTAATTTGTACATGAAGAAAGTGATACCATAAATAAAAGTGAATACTATTTTACTTAAATATTTTAGGTTCAAATAATGACATTCGTAAGATGTATGCGTTGTGGATGATCTAAAAAAATTCTGAACAAATACTATCTTATAATCACTTAATAGTATTAAAAAATTAGTTAACAACACTAAATGTCCTTAAATTATCATTTAGTGTCTGAATTAATCTTTAAAATATCAATCTTATATCTTTCATATATTTCTATTAATCTTTTTGGATTGTCCTTCCGGTTTTCATGGTTTCGTTTTAATTAATCCGGATTGATCCAAGTTGTACACCTGATTTTGATGGATGAGTCTCCAAATAAAAAATTTATGAATACACAAAGGCTCGAACTTAAAACATACTCAAATAATATCAAACTACTTACAATTTGAACTAAACATTCTAATCGTTAGTTTATGTAGTGGATGTCAATTCATATATAATGTATTTATTAAATGAATAATTAAATTTATATATTTTAAATGGTGATAGTATTGGAATATTAGACACGAAAGTAGATACGCACAATATGTGCGTCTCGCCGTACGGTGGCGTGGCAGGCAATGGTTAAAAGTAGGTTGTGGGCGGTGGGTTGAGACGACTTATGGAGCACCACGGCGTCGCATCGCGCCGCTGCCTTTTTGAAAATTTTGGCCATTCTTCCTATGATTGACTCTTGCCTTTTGGTTTGAAACACCACTTTCAAGAAGTCAAAGCCAAATTGCGGCATGTGAAATGTAATCCCACGGCACCAGCTTCCAAAGATGCAATTTTTTATCGGTGAAATTCCGATTTTAGTCCGCGATTATTGAAACAGCCCCATTTATTCACAATATTAACACCTAAATCCAATCAAAGTTCAAGTCACTGATCGCCAGCAATCAATATCGTCGATTTTCTTAGGTTTTGACCACAGGTTATCATAGACCACCGTTACCATTCGGGTTCATCTCCTTTTAACTTATCGAAGACAAATCTATATCTATTCCGTCAAAAAATAAAAAATAAAAAATAAAAATTCAACTTTTTAAATTTTATTAAAAAACCTTCCAATAAAGTTTATTCATTTTATTTTTTTATATAATATTTAAATTATTAAACTCTCTTCAAACCTTTAAATCATAAAACATAATACATTTATCAATAGAGGTTGGTTCAAGTGGTAGGTTTTGGGTTCAATTTATTATGTATGCAGAAAATTTCAACCGAGAGATCCACCCACCAAAATCAAGTATGCGACATGAATTGATTAGAGTTAATAAGCTTGGAACTATAAGGGAAAAAATATGACACGTTTAAATTCACTCAACCTTATATTTTCTCCTAAATATTATATCAGTAATTGATTTACTGTATAGGGTTTGGTTAATTTTGACAATTAAAGGGTTAATACATTTGGTTGGTCCTACCAATTACCATGATTTTAATTATTTAGAGGTAGGGTGGCACTTAGTCTACTTGCTTTTACCAATCAAAACCGACCAATCTTAAATTTTCCTTATGAATTTCGTCTTCTATGTCTTTTACAGAAGTTTCAAGATATATATATATATATATATTGATCATTTGTATCTGATCTATTGATCGACTAATTCAGATCGAATTTTATAAAGACCTATTATGGGGCGATCCTTTCAATCTAATTTGTTCCATACGCAAACGCCAAGATTCGAACTCCAATCTATACATTCGCACAATTCATCAAATTTAATTTAAATTGATGTCTTATAACATTGATGACCAAACAAATTAAATCATTGATTTTTAACCAATCAATATACATTTGTTCATTGAATATTTAATTTACTTTTACAGGTTAAATAAACATCGGCAATATAAATTATGTTTAAAGTAAAAATAAGTATCTAAATTATATTATTTTTTTACTTTAGATACTTGAATTACTTTTTGGTTAAATTAAGTATTTAAACTATCATATCTAATTATTTTAAGTCTTAATATTTTTTTAGTTAGAAAATTATTTCATGGTCAATAAAATGTTTACATGTCATATAAAATTAAGTACTTATTTTGAAAAAAAAAAAATTAGAGGCTCAAAGCAAAAACGGATATAGTTTAGGGGACCTATTTTGATAAAAAAAAATAGTTAAGATACCGACTACATATAATAATTTAAATAAATAGTTTGACCAGAAAATAATTTAGGTATCTAAAGCAAAAAATAGCATAGTTTAAGTTTTTTCTCTCCCGATTCTAGGTTTTACTCTGACTAATTCGGACAGATCTACGTTACTCATGTGACTTTGATAGATGAGTCTCACAATGGAGATTTTCTATATATACAATTACTTGAACCAATAATTTAAAGACAATTTAAATATATAGTTTGACCAGAAAATAATTTAGGTATCTAAAGCAAAAAATAGCATAGTTTAAGTTTTTTCTCTCTCGATTCTAGGTTTTACTCTGATTAATCCGGACAGATCTACGTTACTCATGTGACTTTGATAGATGAGTCTCACAATGGAGATTTTCTATATATACAATTACTTGAACCAATAATTTAAAGACAATTTAATTTAAATATTTAAAAATAATAATTTGATCCTAGCGATATCATAAATAGTAAAAATATATTTATTAAATGAATGAATGGCAATGGTGAAAGTCGTCTCGTTATGTCGTGAATATAACGGGTGTCTACGAAAGTCGGTGCGGATCGGCAAGTGTCGGTGGTCCAACCAATCACGAGTTGCCGCGTCATCATTCTCTTCCTCTTTTCTCTTTTTATATTGTTTCCCCTTGGCTAACAATAAATATCTTACCCTACTTTTTATTTCTTCATTTACTTTGAGGCCAAGCTTATTCCACAAAGGGCATACTCATTGACTCACCATTCATGCCCAAATTAATTCATGATTATCCCTTAATCTCGCAAGGTTTCATCTTACATGAATTAAATTGATAATTAATTAGTCTAATAAGATTAAGTTATAAATTTTCGATCAAAGTCAGGGATTTGAATTTTAGCGTTGTAAATGGAATAATTAGATTATAAAGATCGCTCACATAATAAATCTATGTAGTACACGATCCATATTAATCGTTTAATAGATCAGATATCGATGATTATACTAAAAGTTAAGATATTGTGATATTTTTAATTTATCTTATGATTAGATTCGATGTCTAATGCATGAGAATTCTATATTTAAAATCGAACTAAGTTGAACCCTTGAACGGAGGACAAAAATCCTCCTATAATAATTTTCAGATCCACCATTTTACCTTTTACTCATTTGAGTACATGTTAGTTAATTATTCAGTGAGAGATATGAGAATTGATATAAATTTTTATGTAAGGATATATGAACTTAAGAAAATATATTAAAATTTAAAGGGTGTAAAATTTTAATTTTTTCTTTTTATACGGGATATAAAATTAGATCATCAAATATAAATAAAATATATAAATTATAATTTAAAATTTTTAGTGGTGTGACCTCACTTCTAACACCCTTTCAATTCATCCCTAAAAAATAGGGTAAAGTACACAAATGATCCACCAACTATATGGTACTGCTTTATTAAGTTGATCGACTGTTAAAAGTTAAAAAATAGTCCCGACACTATAGATTGTTGCTTTGTTGAGTCAATCGACTATTAAAAATTACAAAATAGTCATATGACTATTCATTAAGTTCTAAACCCGTAATTTCCCATTAAAAACTTGGCAGTTGTTTAACATCTAGCTTAAACAACCGTCAAGTTTTAACGGAAAGAGACGAGTTTGGAACATAATGATAGTTGGGTCCTATTTGTAACTTTTAATAGTCAAGTGACTCAACAAAGCAACACTCTATAGTCTGAGAATCATTTTGTAACTTTTAACAATCTAGGGGCTTAATAAAGCAGTACCTTATAGTCGGGGACAATTTGGGTGCTTTACCCAAAAATAATTATATAACCAATAATAATAATTTCCATATCATGCAAAAGCTTATGATTATTTTTAATTTTTATAATTTACTAAAAAATACCAAATAAATATCAATAACCCCCAAATTTAATCTTTTAAAGAAGAAAATAATATATCATAAGAACGGATAAAAAATATCCCACTTGACCTTTAAATTATACTATTTTTTTCACTTTGTATCATGATACAATTTAGACCAGCCAATCTCTAATGTACAAAATGGAAATAGTATACTTTAAGGGTCAACATGAATAAATAAATTTAT